AAGAAGTGCAGCAGAATTCTCCTTGGAAGCAAGAATGACCAGACATGGTTTCACTTACTTGGGTCATGTTGTCAGAAGTGACCATTCCCTGGAGAAGGATATCATGCTTGGTAAAGTGGAGGGTCAGCGAAAAAGGGAAAGACCTTAAACAAGGTGAATTGACACAGTGGTTTCAACGATGGGCTCAGGGATTGTGAGGACCAGGCGGTGTTTCATTCTGTTGTATGTAGGGTCACTATGAGTTGGAGCTGGTGGTAGCGTAGTGCCTAAGGCACTTGACTGATAACTAGAAGGCTGACGGTTCAAACCCACCAGCCACTCCTCAGAAGGAAGATGGGGCAATCTACTTCCGTAGTGATACTGCCTCGGAACCCAAGGAGGGGTTGCTATGAGTTGGGTCCGATTCGACGGCACATAACAACAACAACAACAACATATAGACAAGGGGCCCTGGTGGCACAGTGATTAAGTATTTGGCTGCTAACCAAAAGATTTTTAGTTTGAACCTACCAGCTGTTTGGTGGGAAAAAGATGTGGCAGTCTGTTTCCATAAAGATTTATAGTCTTGGAAACCTCATGGGGCAATTCTATTCCATTCTACAGGGTTACTATGAGATGGCATGGACTTGAGTAATGAGTTCTTTATACTAGAGACTCGGGCATCTATAAGGTATTTAAACAGAAATACTCACAGCTTATTAAACACTTTTAAAATTGTGGAAAAGGAAGAACTATCTATATATGGAATCAATTTGACAATAACAGTTCAAAAGACTTGACAGGAACCTTAGGGGCAGTAAGTATATGTTAATGAGGGAGAAACAACTCAGAAAAGGAGGGTGAGAACGGTTGCCCAACTTGAAGAATATAATCAGTGTCATTAAATTGTACATGTAGAAACTGTTGAATTGGTATATGTTTTGCTGTGTATATTCTCAACAAAACTACAACAAAAAACAAGTAACATTTGGGAAAAAATGGGGAATAAAAAATACAATTCTTACAGTAAAGGCAGGAGATAAGTTGGATTTTTTTTCTCTTTATTTACTTATATTTAGACTAATAAGTTGATTTCTTAATAGCTTCCAAAAGTGACCGATGAATATTTTTTATTAAGTGTTGTTATGAATTCACGGATTTTTAACATTTTTGATGTGTTTCAACCCATTGCAGTTGTTATCCTTATTCATACAAATTGTCTCTTCTTTGGCCAGTGGAAGCCTCTTCAAATTAGTTCCTGACACCATCAGTCTCTGATAGATTCCTTATTATTTGATAGGACATATTTTCTAGGCTCATCTTATATATTTCATGTTCACCAGTTTCTCAAGCAGCACTGGTGCCCTTTAATGACAAATGGTATTTAGAGACCACAGTCTGATACTGAGTTTATCATTGTTTCTCTGCCTTTTCTGGAATCAAAGTGTGGAGTACTTTTTTTTTAAAAAAAGAGAAAATATAAATTTATATGGATATTTCCAGTTCAAATTTAGGATTGTAGGGTTTTTCCTTTTTTTTTTTTTTAATTTTATATTTCTAATCTCTCATTTTACAAAGAAATTCTTGGGTTCTAAGTATATTAATATAATTACTTACTTGCTTTATCCTGCTATATATGTTTTAATAGCTCCAGAATAACAATATTAATATTGTTAGATTGCTGGGTTTTTTTTTAAGTACCTTTTGCCTTATAGACACATCTCACTGTAAAGACTGAGTCAAATTAATGCATTTGAAGTCACTTGAAATAATTCTTTCTGTAAGAATACTTAGGTTCATTTGTGCCGTCTTGTTTTTGATTTTTAAGGATTGTTTTCTAAAATTGAAATTTTTGAAAAAGTATATAGAACAATTCACAACAACAATATAGCACAATATTACATGATACCAAAATGAAATTTATGAAACAAGCTATATCCAGAGAAGCCTAGCTTCTGTACTTGTCTTCTCTATTTATTCCCTCCCTACTCCATAAGTAACTATTTTATTTTATGACTTATCTCTATTTTTAGAATATAAAAGGCTTGCATATTCATATTGTAAAATTTGTTTTCAACTTTGTTTCTTCTGCTCTGGAGGCTCTCTCCATAGCAATATATAGAAATAGTCGTCATTCATTTTACAGCCGCACCTTACTTCACTGTCAATTCATTAAGATTTATTCAGTCAGTCATTTTCTGATGAACATTTGAGTTTTTTAAAATCTTGTTTATTAAAAATAGTGCTGAAGTTAGTGGCCTTGTACATAGAACTGTTCATATATGTATATGTATCAGTGTACCTTTGAGAGAAAGTCCCAGAAGCACTGAGTTAGAGGGTAGGTTCAGACGTAATCGCCCTAATGTTGTCAAATTCTCCTCCATATATAATGCACTGCTGTTGAGTCAATTCCACCTCATAGTAACCCTACAGAACAGAGTGAATCTACTCCATAGGGTTTCCAAGGTTGTAAATCTCTATGGAATCAGGCTGCCACATCTTTCTCCCACAGAGGGGTTGGTGGATTCAAACCACTGACATTTTGGTTAGCAGCAGAATGCTTTAACTACTGCATCACCAGAGCTCCTTATAAATATATAGAGATATCTATTTCAAGGAAATGGTTTATGTAGTTGTGGAGGCTGGCAAGTCCTAAGTTTGTGGGTCAGGCATCAGGCTGGAGGCTTCTCCTGACTGACATGGTTGAAAAGGCTGATGAACCTAAAACTGGAGGGTCAGACAGCAGGATGATGAGTCAGATGCAGAATAGAAAGAAAACTAGCTTTTCCAGAACATCCATACACACACACACACACATATACACACACATATATATATACACACACATACACACACACATATATATACACACACACATAGATATATAATATATATATACACACACATACATATATATATACACACACATACATATATATATACACACACACACATATATTTTCTTGTTATAAGAAACTTTTCATATGTCTAAAAACATTTTCAGATGCCTTCTTAAATATTTCTTAATGACTCTACTTGCATGACTAAGTAGAAATGAATATTTAAAATCATTTATATTATCTGGTCCTTCTTCACACATAGGTCCATGTGGACTTCTTCTGTACTTATGAAAACAGGAATATCAAAATGGTAATGAATTTATTGAAATAGTTTAATCCATATAAAAGCTGTTAAAGATCAATTCTGGCTATGAGTCCATAGCTTCCATTGGTTGTCCATAATCCTAAACAAAATCTAAAACCTGCTGTTAATGACAAAAATGAGGAAAAATATGTTAATAGCTCTTTCTTGAAGAAAGGTTTTGGTTTCCTTATCTGTTCAAAATTGTGAAGATAATGGAAGTACTTCAACAGGGTAACCAAAGATATAAAGAATTTAGTCTATGATTTCCCGCTTAAGAGAGAAAAAAGACATTGGCATGTTTTAAAAGTTTATCAAATTCATAATATTTTAATTTTGTATGCAATTATATGTTGTGGATGTGTAATTTAATATTCTCTAAACTTGTATTTATCTCATAGAGTTCGTTCTTATGACTCTTATATTTTTTTTTTCCATCTTTCCAAGGAATTTATTTCAGTAACTGTGCCTGCTCATGAAACTTGTCCCTCTTCTTGTACCCCGTGGCTTGCCTACTACTAAAGTGTTGTTGTTGTTGTTACGTGCCATCTAGTTGGCCCCGACCCATAGTGACCCCTCCTTGGGGTTCCGAAGCAGTATCACTACAGAAGTAGATTGCCCAATCTTCCTTCAGAGGAGTGGCTAGTGGGTTTGAACCTCCAGCCTTCTGGTTAGCAGTCAAGTGCCTTAGGCACTACGCTACCAGAGCTACTAAAGTACATAAGGTTAATATGTTATAGGGCCTCTATGATACACATCATTTCACTTGTTTCTCAAATCTTTTAGAGCTTTCACGGTACACAATTGACATTTTAATCTTTGATTTCCTTAGAATTTCCTTTGAAGGTGTAGGGGAGGGATTTAACTTCCCCTCCAAATCATTATTTTCAATTATTTCTTTAGCATTTATTGGATGATCCTACAGATGGTAATTTATTTAAAATAATGTATTTATCCCTCACTACATTTTATGTGTACTTCAGTCTTTTAAATTAAGCTTTCTATCCTGTTCTCCTAGGAGCTCTGGTAGCGTAGTGGCTAAGGCGCTTGACTGCTAACCAGAAGGCTGGTGGTTCAAACCCACCAGCCACTCCTCGGAAGGAAGATGGGGCAATCTACTTCCGCAGTGATACTGCTTCGGAAACCCGAGGAGGGGTCGCTATGAGTCAGGTCTGACTCGACAGCACATAACAACAACAACAACAACATCCTGTTCTCCTATCCTTTCTGCCTATCCCTCACTTGCACCTACCCCTCACTGTTTTCGTTACTGTGCCTTTATGATACATTTTGATACTTGTTAAGATTCCCTCACTGATCTTCCTAACCATACTCATAATGTGCTTAGTTTTTTTTCAGATGAACTTGAGAATTATTTTTGTCAAATTCCATTTAAAATCTTCTGAAATTTTGATAACTGATAAGAAATACAATTTAACCTAAAAGAAACTTAGAACTAGAATCCTTTTTCAAGTTCAGAAATCTGTCTGTATTATTTTTAGATTTGAAATTTTCTCTTTATTTTATATCTCCATTACTATATTTAAAAAAAAAAAAACCCAAACTCAATGCCATTGAGTCAGATCCAACTCATAGTGACCCCTCCTTGGGTTTCTGAGGCAGTATCACTATGGAAGTAGATTGTCCAACCTTTCTTCCAAGGAGTAGCTGGTGGGTTTGAACTGCCAGCCTTCTGGTTAGCAGTCAAATGCCTTAGGCACTACGCCACCAGAACTCCCTCCATTACCATAGCATTTCATAAATGTTTGTTCTTTATTTAACTTACTCTTTTCAGAACTATATTTTATTAGTAACTGATCTTACTAAATGTCCATAAACCTGATTTAAGACTAATATGGATGTTACTCTTTGTTAACTAGAACTCGTTTCCTGCCCAAGTAATGCATCTGAATGCAGCTATGGCTGTTTTCTGACATTAGATGGCCCCCTATGTTTCTGTCCTGAAAGCTCAGCACTTAAGGCAGATGGAAAAACATGTAGTGGTAAGTTTATTCACCTTTTCTTTGAAAACACTCATTTGCAAAGGGACACCTAAAAATTGATATTATTGCTAAAGGAGAACAGATTTTCCAACTTAAAAAAAAAAAAAAAAAAAAAACTTTGAAAGATATTTATGTAATGGATGAACATGTAGAAAGCCCTGAGGCAGCGTTACCAGTTACCAGTGGTGCTAATTTGGTCTTGGAATTTGACCTCTGTTGTTCTCATTTTTCTCATATGTAAAGCTTAATTATACCTGCCTCCTAGATTTGTGGCCAGCATTAAATAATAGAGCAGATGCAAAGTATTTAGCCTGTTCCACATCTAATGTTGTTGTTGTTGTTATGTGCCCTCGAGTCAGCCCCGACTCATAGCGACCCCTCCTTGGGTTTCCGAGGCAGTATCACTATGGAAGTAGATTGCCCAACCTTCCTTCCGAGGAGTGGCTAGTGGGTTTGAACCGCCAGCCTTCTGGTTAGCAGTCAAGTGCCTTAGGCACTACGCTACCAGAGCTCCCTGACATCTAATACGTGCTTAATAAATATCCTTCTCTACTTTTATCTTCATAGGAACTTAAGTATATGGAAAGTTAGATATAACTTAAATTAGCAGAAGAGTTACGTGTTACTTTTTTTTTTAAATGAAGTAAAAGAAGTCAAGAGGCCATAAATAAAAGAGAGAAAAAAAAAGAATTACTAGGTCTTGGATATAATGGGAGTAAGATGTGAGACAAAACTCAAATTCATTAAAAAGATCAGGGTTATTGGTCTGATAGAGACTGGTGGAACCCCCAAGACTGTGTCTGTTAGTCACCCTTCAGACCTGGAACTGAACTCACCCCAATGGGTCAATCGGCAGCCAAGCAATAGACAGACCTATAAGGTGAAAAATAACGTTACAGGGGGACACACTCCTTAGAAAACTGGTCATACGAGATGAAGAGAGCAACTTTTGCCCAGGGATAAAGCTCAGAAGGCAGGGATAGAAAAGAAGGACAAATGGGAACAGGAAACACAGGCAGGAAGTGGGAAGAATACTGTGACATTGTGGGGACTGCAATCAGTGTCACCAAACAAAATGTATATGAATTGTTGAATGGAAAACCATTTTGCTCTGTAAACTTTTACTCAAAGCACAACTGAAAATTTAAAAAAAAAGAATTACTGACTATGACTTTCTTATTCAAGGCAATTTGCCAGTGCACTTGTTCTCCAACATAGTGAGAAAACAAGAGAAGGGCCATTTGGCTATGAAGTGTTAACTTCTAAGATTATCGTTATAGGGAAGTGGGATACAGTGGCATTTTGCTCTAGTCTGTAAAAAATCAACTTGACTGCAGCAGTATGAATGCCCATGGAAGTGGTTTTAAAAAAATCAACAAATGCTTGGCCCACCTCCATATTTTGATGGAATTTTTTTTTATTTTTTAATACCATGGAATCTTTGCCAAACAATTGCTTTTTGTAGGTTGTTCATCATCTGATAATGGCGAGTGTAGCCAACTCTGCATCGCCCTCAGCCCAGTATCCTGGAAATGTGGTTGCTTGCCTGGCTATAACCTACAGCTGGACAAAAAAAGCTGTGCAGCTTCAGGTCAGTGTTGTGTATGTTTGAAAAGCATCTCTGCAAAAAGAGTGAGTGAAAAAAAAATTTGACTTAGAAAGATGGAAGTTTGGATTGTTTTTGGATTCAGGCTAGAAATTTGATTTTTGGAAATGGGAAGGGAGTACTCTCCATATAAATAATAATCACACATCTTTAAAGAATATTTCTATGCTAATCCAGAAAGATTTACTATAACATCCAGCAAGGTATTTCAGTATATGGAACAGTCATGACCAGAGTAGTCTCAAAGCAGTTTAAAGTTAAGCAGGATTTAATAAACATTTGTTGATTGATTTGATTTTTATCTTCCAGTGACTGTAGTAATTATAATACTGTGACAAATTCTGGGCTTTTCATGTCAAAAGTTAATATGAAGGCACATGTTTCAGTTATTTTTTCAACTTGCAATAGCTCATCTCTTCCAGCTTTCAACAGCCTTGGAAATCCTAAACTTATTATACCAAATGGACTTCATTTCTCAGAAGGTTCAGTGCGTTGTAACCTTGGATCACATGATGATGGTCCTGCACAGCTTGCTTTTGTCAGACCCAATGCTCTTAACTTCTTAGCACCTCAGTGAATGTTGCATAATCTAAGCCCTGAAAATTAACAAGTTTCTTGCTATTAGCTCAGATACTCTTGTCTCACTTGCAGAAGTACCCAGACCAGGCAGAATATTTATATGGACAGAAATCTACACAGTTTGCTAATACATTCCAATACATGAATCAAGGAGACTAGAATGTTAACACTTGAGTCATTTGTCTGTGCTATTAGTTATCAGGAGTCTTTGGGTGGTGTCAATGGTTAAGTGCTTGACTACTAGCCAAAAGGTTAGTAGTTAAACCCACTCAGAGGCACCTTGGAAGACTGGCTTTGATGTTTACTTCTGAAAGCTCACAGCCTTGAAAACCCTCTAAAGACAGTTCTCTGCACACATGGAGTCACCACAAATTAGAATCAACTTGACAACAGCTAACAACAACTATAGGAGCTCTGGTAGCATAGTGCCTAAGGCACTTGACTGCTAACCAGAAGGCTGGCAGTTCAAACCCACCAGCCACTCCTCGGAAGGAAGGTTGGGCAATCCTACTTCCATAGTGACACTGCCTCGGAAACCCAAGGAGGGGTTGCTATGAGTCGGGGCCTACTCAATGGCACATAACAACAACTACAACAGCATTAGTTATTTAATGCTGGCTCTTTCTAGAAGTAATTTGCATTTTAAAAGCAGACACCTAAAGAGGGAGGAATCCAGTGAAATTTTGGCACTGTGTTACCACATGGAAGAGGAAATCTTCTTCCTTATCTTAACCTATGCCACATTGATGGGAAATTAAAAACGAAAAGCCACGTACTACAGAAATTAAGGAAGGCATACAGTAAGAGGAAAGAGTCAGAAGTGCCTCTTGGGTTCCAAGGCACATTTTAAGTGGAGCCATATTTGAAATTTGGTTAACAGGACCACAACCGTTTTTGCTGTTTGCCAATTCTCAAGATATTCGACGCATGCATTTTGATGGAACAGATTATGAAACCCTGTTCAGTCAGCAGATGGAAATGGTTTTTGCCCTAGATCACGACCCTGTGGAAAATAAGGTATGGTTTTGTCACTGGGCAGATATGGGTATGCTTGAAGAACAGAGTAGAGGATTTTATACCACCAGATGTCTTGAGCAACTTGAAAATCCTTTGCTAAACTCAGGAAGATTAGGCAGAGAAAAAGTTAAATATAGACATTGGAATATAATTTGAGAAATTTTAAGGACTTTCTAGTTCTCATCACCCTACCCTGGTCCTTGCTATGATCCAGCCATTTTATTGGGGATCAGAGTAAGAGGCTAGCATAGTGCCATAGACACACCAAGAGCTCCATAAGCATGTTTTGGATTATTGGCTGGTGGTGTGAGGAGTGGGTGGCTGGAGCTGGGTTATAGGAAATATGGATTTGAAATTTGCATTTAATATATGTCACTGAAGAAGGAGATTCAATGACTTCTTAAGCAGAAAACATAAATTTTATGCCTCATTGTGGAAATGCCAGTTTAGCTCAACATTAATGAATTTTACATGAAGGTTTTTGTATATAACATAGGTTTACTATGTTATCAACTTGATCAGCTGGCTGTTTGATCTTTAATTTCTAGCCATATTTGTGCTAGGTTGGAATGTGCTGCAAATATGTTACACTGTCTTTTAGATGTTAAAAACTCCAAACTCACTGCCACTGAGTTGATTTCAACTCATAGTGACCCCCACTGGTTTTCTGAGGCAGTAAATCTTATAGAAATAGATTGCCCCATCTTCTTTCTGTGCAGTGGCTGGTGGGTTTGAACTGCCAAACTTCTGGTTAGCAAATTGTGTAGGCACTGTGCCACTACAACTCCTTAATACATTTACGTAGTTACTGATCCCTCTATTTAATTATTGGGTGCACTGGTGGCACAGTAGTCAAAGTTCCCAGCTGCTAACTGAAGGGTTGGCAGTTCCGCAAGGTTTGAAACCACCAGCTGTTCTGTGGGAGAAGGACATGGCAGTTTATTGGTGGCTATATACACTCTTCAATAAAAGATTACAACCTTGGAAACCTGTTGGGGCTGTTCTACTCTGTCCTCACTCTCTGTGAGTTGGAATCAACTTGATGACAGTGGTTTATATATTTAATTATACCTAAATGGTAAATTTATTGGGACCTCTGGTGGTGTAGTGCCTAAGGCATTTGACTGTTAACCAGAAGGCTTGTGGTTCAAACCCACCAACCACTCCTCAGAAGGAAGTTTGGGCAATCTACTTCTGTAGTGATATTGCCTCGGAAACCCAAGGAGGGGTCGCTATGAGTCAGATCCAACTTGCTGGCAGTGAGTTTGGTTTTGTTTTTGGTTTAAATGGTGAATTAATACCTAGAATTATTTTAAACTATACTTTTGTTTCTTCTTAATTTGAAAAGGATAAAGAGACAGGGTATGGCAAATTGATTCTGGGTCTAGTATGTATGGATTGATAGTCAAATATAATTACTTTTACAAATAGAAGTCTTGTGATTAAGTACTAACAAATTCTTTTTTCTTTTCCCTGAACTGAATCTGTGTGACTCCATGGAACAATTATATTAACAGGACAAAAATACAACAACCAGATAATAGAAAATAAATCAATTGTTACCAAACTAGTTTTTTTTTCCTGCACAGCTGGTACATTTACTGCTAGGTGAATAAGGGAGCTCTGGTAGCATAGTGGCTAAAGCACTTGACTGCTAACCAGAAGGCTGGCGGTGCAAACCCACCAGCCACTCCTCGGAAGGAAGGTTGGGCAATCCTACTTCCGTAGTGATACTGCCTCGGAAACCCAAGGAGGGGTCGCTATGAGTCGGGGCCGACTCGACGGCACACAACAACAACAACAACAACATGAACTTTAAGACATGTGGCTGTTTTTAATTTCTCTAGGCAGTTTTCTCATTTTCTTGCTATTCAAATATGAGTAGGCATTTGACTGCTAAACCAGAAGGCTGGCAGTTCAAACCTACCAGCCACTCCTCGGAAGGAAGATTGGGCAATCTACTTCTGTAGAGATACCAACCCAAGGGGAGGTTGCTAGGAGTCAAATCTACTTGTTGGCAGTGAGTTTTTTTTTTTTTTTTTTAATAGCAGTCCTCAGACTGTAGCATTAATATCACCAGGAGCTTGTTAGAACTGCAGACTCTCACGTTTACTCCTGACCACTGAATCAGACTGCATTCTCACAAGATGCTTAGTTGACTAGTGCAAACATTAGAGTTTTAAAAGCATAGCTCTAGCAGAGTGTTTTTGAGTATGAGAAATAGCTGTTTTTGTATTTGAGGAATAAAACCAGTTGCTATCACATCGATTTTTACTCATGGCAACCCAATGCATGTCAGAGTATACCTATGCTCCATAAGGTTTTCAAAGGTTAATTTTTCAAAAATAGATCATGAGGCAGTTCTTCCAAGTTGCCTCTGGATGGGTTTGACCTATCAACCTTTCAGTTAGCAGCTGAGAGCATTAACTATTTATACCACCTGGGGACTTCATTTAAGGAGTAGAATCTTTTAGTATTTTATATAGAGAGGTGGATTACCCATTATTTAGTAAATTATTTTGTGAATATTCTTGTCATAGATAATAGGTATGTAATAATAGGTATGTAATATATATATATATATATATATTCACAGTTAAAATTCCACAAGTGTTATTATTAAATTGTCAGTGGACAATAGCATTTTTTAATGTTTCATGAAATTCTTGTACCTGTTTCATAACCTGCATACTTGGCAGAAAAATAACTTTGCACCTCCAGGGTATGGTCTGTTGGACAAAATGGATTAATTACAATGAAATTATATAAGGTTAGAGATGAAAGGAACTTTAGCAAATATCTAGTTTAAGTTCCTCATTTTTATAGTTGAGAAAATTGAGGCTCAGTGAAGTTAAAGGACTTGGTCAAAGCAATCAGGCCAATATGTGGCAAAACTGGGAGAGGAACACATGCTTTCTGACTTCAGGGCAGTGGACATCTGTAGACTGAGCAGCAGAAGACACAACACAGTTTTACCACCAATAAACTATAAATCATTGCTCCCTTCTGAGATGCAGAAGTCACTGGGGTTCAAGGACAATGATTGTGTTATTAACTAATGATCAAAGATTAATAGATTACCAGTAACAATAGAAATTTATGCCATGAACAGGGCTCATGTAAACCAATGAGTTTGTCATTATTATCTCTATTTTACCAATGAGGAAACTAAGGCATTGAGACAGTAAGTAACTTGCTTAAGGTTCCATGTAACTGGGAAGCAGTATAGCTGGAATTCAGTTCCAGGTGTGTCAGTGGACGGTTTTGGTGTCTATCACCAAAACCATGCTCTTAACAATTACACTGTAGCTACTTAAAGACTTCCTAACCCCACTTGTACATAGTCACCTTTTTTTTTTTTTTTTTTTGACAAATCAGACAGACATATCTTTGCTCTCTTTCATAGATATACTTTGCCAACACAGCCCTGAAATGGATAGAGAGAGCTAATGTAGATGGTTCAAACCGAGAAAGGCTTATCGAGGATGGAGTAAATATGCCAGAAGGTCTTGCTGTAGACTGGATTAACCATAAATTCTACTGGACAGACAGAGGGTATGTTCTTCCTTCAATTTTAAGCCACATGGGATGGGAGTGATGAGACAGGTAAGACCGTTGGCTTGATTCTCCACTTTGTACTTGTGTTGATTACTTCGTGCTACTCTAACAGAAAATACCACAAATGAGTGGCTTTAGCAAACAGGAGTTTATTTTCTTACAGGTTGGGAGGCTAGAAGTCTGAGTTCAAAGTGCCAGGCACATGCTCTCAGGATATAATTCTTCGATCAGGACAGTCTCCCCCCTGCTACACCCTCAGCACACTTCTGGCCCTTGTTCTCTCAGCCTGACCTCTGTCTGCATTGCTAGGACAAGTGTTAAAAAGCTCTTGTAGTGCTGCCAATAGGTACACCTATGTACAGCAAGCCTCCTGCCTAAGGGCACTCAGCTTTCTTGCTCCATGGGCCTGAAAGCCTGCCTCTTGGTTCCTCAGCCAATTGTCTCAGCCAGTCATCTCTGCCATCTTTCTGTGAAGGAGGTGCAGCACAGGGATCTCAGGTCCAAGGATCTTTCAGGTCCATGGATTTCTCAGGTCCAAAGACATGCTCCACTCTAACTCCATGGCCATTGCAATGATTTATCGAACCCAGCAGAGAAATAGCAAGTGCAGTGGGAGGGACACTTGGTGTTAGAGTTGGTAAAAAGCCTGGAGGTGGCTCCATGTCTAGCCTTATAAGCAAAAGCCTTGGGCTATTGATGGTGACTCTGTTTCCCTCTCATGAGGTTGGAGGAGGTCAGAAGGTGCCACCCCCATGCTCTTTTTGCAGTGAGCATGAAAGAGAGAGCAAGAAATTCACGCTGGAGTTGTGAGGAAAGTTCTTCTGAGGAGGGGGATGAGATTGGCAGGGTTATCTACTTTCCCTTTGGCAGGAAACATACCAGAGTGAAACTGTGTTTCTGTCTGTTCAGGATACCACTCTCAGTAGAAGTATAGCTAGGCTTGTTCATATGTATGTGGCCTGTGTGAGCCCCCTGGGTCGAGTTGGGGTGGGTGGAAGGAGGGTGGAGGAAGGAAGTGACTGGTTCCCTTCTGTGTCCTAATGATAGCCACTTCTTTGCTTCTGAAGAAAAAGCTAACCACAGAGTACCTTACAGGATAATATTAGAGATGCTGTGTGCTCTAGGAATATTTTCTCACAGCAGCTAAAAGCTGTATGATTAGGTGGTAGCCAACCGGAACATCTGGTATCTACATAACCATGTTAGAATAAAAGAAGGAAGATTAGTTAGAGTTTCATCTCTGTGAAATCAAAAGTTTTGATACAGAGAGAGAAGTCTCAGGGAACTAGTTTATATGCTTGGAGGTAGGCTTTCAATGTCCCAGAACATCTCTTTTGGTTTAGGCAACCCATGGAAAGCAACCTAGTTTTTAAAATGAGAGAGATGTATGACATGATTCACAGTTTTCAGTAATAGGACACTTCTATATCCAGAGTGAGAACATATTCATTTATTCATTCAACCATCTCTCCATTCTTCTATTCTTTGGGTATTTATTTATTGAATAAATGTATTATGCCTGACACTGTGCTCAGAACTTTACACCATGATACCACTGAATTCTAAAAGGAATCTGTGAAAGTTAAGTTTTCTTGTCCCCAGTTTGCAGATTAAAAAATTGAGGCTTAAAGATGTATAATAGTCTTACCTTAGACAAGTAGCAAGTGCTGGATCTAGAATTTGAACTCAAGGATGACCATTTTCAAAGCTTAGGCTCTGAAAAATCATAGACTTGTACTTCCTTCCACAATAAGAGTTGATTGACCCAGAGTGATGTAATAAAATCAACTTCAGTTGTAATAATGACAAAAATCATCAAAAATCAAAGCTTAGTCTTGGGACACAGCAAGTACTCAATAAATATTTGATAAACCAAAAACAACCCAAACTCACTGCCATCAAGTTGATTCTGACTCATTTAGCAGCTTGCCTTTTTTCCTGCTGATCTTGGGACTGTCTCCATACTTGAGCTAGTGACCTGCCATGTTATTTTGTAACCTTGGGACTGTGCCATTTTATTTGTCAACCTTGGGTTTCTCAGCCTCAGCAGCCAGCAGCTGCCTGAGTGAAGAGATGCCTCCAGCTCCACTGGGCCAGGAGCAAGAGGCAGAGCTGAAGCTCAAGATTGAGTGGCCTTCACCCAGCTCCTAGAGCTTGCCACTTTGAACTCAGATTTCTAGCCTCCAGAACTGTAAGAGAATAAATCCCTGTTTGTTGAAGCCACCCGTTTGTGGTATTTTCTGTTAGAGCAGCACTCAGTAACCAAAACAGAGATAAATGAAAGCTGAGAAGAACTCCTCATTGTGCTGTTAAATGAAGATTCAACTATATGCTAGGTCCAAGCGTGCCAAAAAGCTGCAGAGACCTTTCTCAAAGCATCTTCTTATATACTGAAGCAGACCACATCCCTAAGGCAGCTACTTAGCTGGTCACTAGATTCCACCACGGAGTTGATTACCAGTCTCATCATGAGGAATAACTACTGCTGCCCAGCCACTCAAAACCAGGCCCACCCAAGTTGACACACAACTGAACCACCACACTCTCCAATGCTTGTGCTTGTTACTGGCTCTAGGAAGCTGCTCAGACACCTGTGTTAGCTCACAGGCCAGTGACTAGGGGATGAGCCCCCCTCCCCAAACTGAACATTTAAATCCATCTAGTCTTCTCCATCCCAAGTGTCACTGCTTACCTCAGTGACCATCATCCCTTCCCTGCCTTGCCCTCTCCACACTAAAGTTATACAACACTTTCTAAAGTGAAATCATGAATATCCCATGGCTGTTTTAGGCTTCTGGGACTTTGTACAAGCTGATTTTCCTCTTAGGGTAAGGAGTCTCCTTTTAGGGTAAGGATCCTGCATTTAGGCTTCCCTCTCCACACACTTTTGCCTAGCTACCTCCTCTTTCTAGGCTACTGGTACCTCCGGGAATCCCCCTCTAACCCCTGAGTCCTCAATTTGTTTTCCTTACACACAAAAACTCACAAACCCCCTTTCTCAGTGCCTATCCACTTGTGCTTATTGTAAATGCTTTTTTTTTTTTCTCTCTTTCCATCTATACCCTGCTCCTGCCACCCCACTCCCATCTCTGTTAAACTATAAACACAGTCTTATTTACCATTGTCTCTTCAAAGCTTAGTCTAATCCTTGGGACACAGCAAGTACTCAATAAATATTTGATAAACCAAAAACAACCCAAACTCACTGCTAGAAAGTTGATTCTGACTCATAATGACCCCCTTTGGGCTTCCAGTGTGATAAATCTTTATGGAAGTAGATTGTCCAGTCTTCCTTCTACAGAGTGGTTGGTGGGTTTGAACCACCAGCCTCTGGTTAGCAGTCAATGCTTTAGGGACTATGCCACCAGAGCTCCTTAAATATCTAATAATAAAGACATATAAGTGGAGAAATTAGGCATCAAGAATTTTCTTCCCTGCCAGGACAAAAACCAAAACTCATTGCCATTGAGTAGGATCTGACTCATAGCTACCCCTCCTTGGGTTTCCCAGGCGGTATCACTACAGAAATAGAGTGCCTAAACTTCCTTTCAAGGAGTGACTGGTGGGTTTGAATTGCCAGCCTTCTGGTTAGCAGTCAAGTGCCTTAGGCACTATGCCACCAGAGCTCCTAGGTCCTAAAGGGTTATTTATTTATTTACATGAGAAGATTAGCAAATAACATATCAGTGCTCCTATCTCTCTTAGAATCATATGCAGGAAGATTAGTCAACCTACATCTCCTTCTACTGTCTTTGTGTTAGGTGGTCCCTGTGGCCTCCTTTTGGTGTACTCTCCCTGCCTTTCCCTCTACTCTGTGACCACAGGCTGACACCTCCCTTGCCCCAGGCTTCCATTGGTTTTAGCAAGGGATTGAAGGGTGTGAAGAGAGAGTGTTTACACACTCCTGGCTTTGTTCCAGCATGGCCACTGACACAAGTCCTCTTTTACCTTACCCTATTACTTTGCATTTTAATTGCATAGGATAAATATTGAGATCCTAATTAAGATACTATGCTTAAACACACACACACACACACACACACAATTTGTGGCTGATTGGTTCTGTCTCTGTAGGGGGAATGGTAGGGGAAAGGGGCCAAGGAATAGTTTAAAATGTGATCTTTGCATTTCAGTAAGTAACGAAGGAAAGAAGTATTTTTACTTGAAAAGTAAATTTGGTGTAATAAGCTCCTCTATATTACATATATTTTAGGGAATCCCTCATTGAAAGGAGTGATTTAAATGGAACGCATCGTGAAATAATCATTAAGGAGGACATCTCTGAGCCACGAGGAATTGCTGTTCATCCAATAGCCAAGTAGGTATTTCTAAAAGTAAGGAACCGTTTGGCAGAGTCATCTGACATATGATATGTTAGTGTCCAAATCCATCAGATTTGTCCAAATCTTTAGAAATGAGGTGGCTAGCATGACTTCTGAATCTTTTTAATGTCTTTTGGTTTTCCGTTCTTACATGAGAATTGTATGTTTTATATGCCTTCTTATTTTAAGCAAATTAAAATTCTCTTTTAAAAGAGTAGACTGTGATTCATTAATAAATAAGACATAAATCTGTTATCTGGAACAGATCGAACTCCTTTCTTTAAAAATCTACATGACTGCTCTACTGAGCAGAGGGAAATATTTCATTGTTAAAATTTTGAATTCTGTTTAGAAAAATTCATCAGATGAGCTTCAATGATAGGCCATTCCTAGATTTAAACAAGAGGAAATAGAAATGAACGTTAATTGTGAACACATTTTTTTTAATATAGGAGTTAGAGATTATGGAGAACAACTGATTCCCTCCAGGTCCTCAAAAGCAAGGATAAAAACTAATCCTATTTTATTTATGATGGAAATTTCACAATGGTCTATGGGAGATAATTTGTTAGTCAAACAAAAGGTTTCCAAGGTGGTATCACTATGGAAGTAGATTGCCCCACCTTCCTTCTGAGGAGTGGCTGGTGGGTTTGAACTGCCAGCTTTCTGGTTAGCAGTCAAATGCCTTAGATACTATGCCACCAGAGTAACTGATAAATTGATTTGGAGCCAGCCAAATGATTAAACAGGCTAGTAATATTAGATATTGAGCCATACTGACATTAAAAAAAAAAAAAAAAGAAATAGTACCTCAGTATCTGATTTATGAAACTTAAAATATTCAGATTAGTAAGTACATTGTATAAAGGTGGATTAGAGATTAATATGCTTTTCCCTTATGCTGTAATTTTACATAAGCAGTAAATTTACTTATGTCTAACAGAGGGACAGATTAGCAAGCTTTCATTGCATTTTGCAGCTTGAAATGCATATTTAAGACTATGCCATGGAATACACATTTGATTAGTAATACACTACAACTTTCTAAATAAATGATTCTTTTTTTTAAATTTCATTAACTGAGATTTAGTTCAGTATTTGTTGTTCAAGATGTTCTACATAGAAAAGATTATCATTTTGCTTTAAAAAATTGTCTGTCATGCAATGCTATACTTTCCTTATCTCTACTCCTTAGTGAAACACATCAGTTTACCCTGAAATAATTTACGTCAATGCTTTCATTGATGAAACAATGGAAATTTTGTATGCAGATTTTATTTGTTGTGTGCTTTCTTGATTAAAGGAGATTATTCTGGACTGATGTGGGGATTAATCCACGAATTGAAAGTTCTTCCCTTCAAGGCACTTACCGACAGGTTATAGCAGGTTCTGATCTGGTCTGGCCCAGTGGAATAACGATTGACTATGTAACTGACAAGTTGTATTGGTGTGATGCCAAGCAATCAGTGATTGAAATGGCCAATCTGGATGGTTCAAAACGCCAAAGACTTGCCCAGAACGATGTAGGTGAGCTTTGGGATGAGTAATTTCTTCATCTGGACTGAGTGTTGATGAGTGTTAAATACAAAATGTGTTTACACACACACACTTACGCACACACTTCAGTAAGAAAGAACTAGAGACAGACAGAGTTCTTCAAGGAATTTTGAGCTATAAGGATATTTTAACACTAGAATATTATATAAAAATAGTAATACATAATAGTTTCTTTTTCCAAAATTTCTGCAAATCAGAATGAATAGATTAATTTTCTAAACTTCTTTAGAAGATAAGCACTTGGTTGAACTGTTATCATTTTTTATATTTCAGAAAATGTTATTTCCACATTTTTATGATAATAGTGAATATTGATCACTCACCATGTGCAAATATTAATAAATAAATCAACTTTTCTCCCCTCCTATATTTTCAATTTTCACATGGAGTGGTATCCATTTTTATAAATATTTTTTAAGCATTAAATCTATGCTAGCTGTTAGAAGAAAAGTACAAATGACTGAGATTATATATCATGGGAGAGTCATTTTGACTCAGAGAATCTGCAAAGACAGAAATTGAACTGGTGCATGTGGTCACTAAACTGAAAAAACCAAACCCATTGCCATCAAGTCAATTTCGACTCATAGCAACCCTATAGAGTAGAATTGTCCCATAGGATTTCCAAGGCTGTACATTTTTCCAGAAGCATACTGTTATATCGTTTTCTCACAGAGTGGCTGGTCAAACCATCAAACTTTTTGGTTAGCAGTTGAGTGCTCTAACTACTGGGCTATCAGAGCTCTGATGTGGTGACTAGATGGAGGTAAAAGGTTATAATTTGAAATAAGGCTGAAAAAATTGGTCTTTGTTAGTGCTGCCAGGATAAGTTGACTGGACTTAATTCTGAAAGTGCTAGGGAGCCTGGGTATGTTCTTGAACAGGGGTATATGATAAGATTGGTATCTCTAGATGACCATCTAGGTAACAATGTAAGGATTGGATTGGAATTTGGAGAGAAGGAAATCGGTTAGGAGGCTACAGTGGTTGTCCAATAATTGTTATTGAGGGCCTAAGCTAGAACATTGCCATTTAAAAGTAGACTAGTGGATCAGGGAGCTCTGGTGGTGTAGTGCCTAAGGCATTTGACTGCTAACCAGAGGTTGGTAGTTCAAATCCACCAGCCACTCTGAGGAATGAAGACATGAATTGTTAAAAATAATAAGTCACCTTTTGGTTGATAATGCAGTAAGTTCCTCTTGGTTATGAATGTCCAAGTTACAGACAATTTGTACCTGCCCTTTAAACCAAACCAACCAAACTCACGGCCTTCAAGTCTGTTCTGACTCATATAGACCCCCACAGGCTTTCTAAGGCTGTACATCTATGGAAGCAGATTGCCTCATCTTTCTCCCACCGAGTAGCTGGTGGATTTGAACCACTGACCTTTTGTTAGCAATCAAATGCCTTAAGCACTACACCACTAGAGAGCTCCTTAATGTTATGAAATTTTCCCTCACTTTGAAACAATTGAACAAACCTGTAAAGAAAAAAAAAGTTTATAAGGACTAATAAATTAATTATCCAAATAAATGTAATATTATAACTATGCTATAAGAGGAATTTTGACATGTTATGACTATGGACCAGTCCTTGGAGAAGGACATCATGCTTAGTAAAGTATAGGGTCATCAAAAAAGAGGAGGACCCTCAACAAGATGGATTGACACAGTGGCTGCAACAATGGGCTCAAACATAGCAAGCATTGTGAGGATGCACAGTACAGCACCGGGCAGTGTTTTGTTCTGTTGTACATAGGGTGGCTATCAGAACTGACTCAGCACGTCACAACACCACAGTGTAAAGCTACTACACTCTAAACCAAAAAGCCTAGTGGATAGTTAGTGTATAATTTATATTGCTTTTCTAATGTATGAGTAATGCAACTTCCTATTGAAGGCTATTGTCATAACTTATATTAAATATCTAAATAACTATTCCTGTCATTACAGTGCCATCTACTGGTACATAAATGGTGGCTTCTCACAGCAAGTTCAGGATTTTTAGTGTAATGATGTTGTTGTTGTTGTTGTTTGCCGTTGAGTTGGACCTGACTCATAGCGACCCCTCCTTGGGTTTTTGAAGCAGTATCAGCATAGTGCTTAAGACACTTGACTGCTAACCAGAAGGCTGGTGATTCAAACCCACCAGCCACTCCTTGGAAGGAAGGTTGGGCATTTCTACTTCCTTAGTGATACTGCCTTGGAAACCCAAGAAGGGGTCGCTATGAGTCGGGGCCGACTCGACAGCTAATAACAACATAACAACATCATTATGGAAGTAGATTGCCCCATCTTCCTTCTGAGGAGTGGATTTGAACCGCTGGCCTTCTGGTTAGCAGTCAAGTGCCGTAGCCACTATGCTACCAGAGCTCCCAGTGTAATGATAGACACTCATTTTTAATTAAAATATATGATTAATTATGGCTCTTCTATAAACAAAAAATATAGAAGATTATGTCTAGTTTGGATTTGTTTGCTGAAAAACTCTTGCTGTATAAAAAATTCCTCTGTTGCATTTATGGCTTTAATTTGTGACAAAGCCTATTCGAAGAATCTTAGTGACCCTGATTGATAATGATGGGAAGAGACTCAACAGCAACAACAAACAAACAAACCTGTTGCCATCAAGTCAATTCTGGTTGCCCAAGTGTTATACAGGGGAACTGCTCCGTAGAGTTTTCTTGGCTGTAAACTTTATTGAAGCACTCTGCCAGGCCTGCCTTCTGTGGCACTGCTGGATATGTTCAAACTACCAACCTTTATGTTATTAGATGATTGTAAACAGCTTGTGACACCCAAAGACCTAAAACTAGTGGCTGTCAAGCTGATTTTGCCTCATGGCAACCCCATGTGTTTCAGAGTAGAACCCTACTCCATAGGGTTTTCAATGGCTGTCACCTTTTGACACCCAGGCTTTTCTTTCAAGGCACTCTAGGTGAATTCAAACTGTCAACCTCTTGCTTAGTAGCCAATAAACTGAGTTGTTGTTATTTATTTATTAATTTAAATGCAATCAGACCCATTATAACTCTCAACTATATATGTAGTTGTTTATCTTGCATTCAACTGTAGACATGAATAAGCAGCCCTGATGGTACAATGATTAAGTGCTCAGCTGCTAACCAAAGGTTGGTGGTTCGAACCCACTAGCACTCTACAGGAGAAAGATGTGGTAGTCTGTTTCTATAAAGATTTATAGCCTTAGAAACTCTATGGGGGCAGTTCTACTCTGTTCTATAGGGTCCCTATGAGTCAGAATGTGGGTGGTGGTGGTGATACATATGAATGTATCCTCTTCGAAATCTCTCTCTCTCTCTTTTTTTTTAAAGAGTTTTCATATATAGCCATTACCTATGATAGAAGATTAGTTTGTAGTACCTAGAAACTTCTAGAAACTTTCCCTACACTGTAGTGTCAGTGGGAACAAGAAAGTGGAAAATGCTTGCTAGGGAACCCTCAGTTTCTGAGGGGAGAGTGTGGAGTAGCATTTACCATTTAGGAATAAGAAGAACATATGACTATAGAATAATAATCTTAACAATGCCTTTATCCTTTTAAAGAGTACTTAGATCCTTTGTTAAGGAACTTGGGTAGTGTAGTGGTTAAGGCATTCGGCCGGTACCCAAAACGTTGACAGTTCAAACCCACCAGCCACTCCATAGGAAAAAGATGAGGCAGTCTGCTTCTGATAGGTTTATAGCCTTGGAAACTTTCCGGGCAGTTCTACTCTGTCCTATGAGTCAAAATTGACTTGATGGCAGTGGGTTTGGTTTTTCATTGGTATATCCATTGTTAGATTTGATTCATTAGTTTACTTTAACCAGTATTTATTGAGTGGCTGGTTTATGCCAAGCCCCATACTGGAGACAGATTCATTCAGGTATTCATTCAATAAATATTTATTGAGCACCTACTGTAGGCCAGGGACTATTCAAGTTTCTGGGGCCAGTAAAACTGGAGAAAAAAAAATCTCTGCTTTTATGATGCTTACCTTTTAGAGGGGATAAGACACAGTCTATGCTTTCAAGGACATTAGGAAATTATAAAGAAAAGCAAAGTAGTAAATACATCCTGGATCCTATGGCACATGAGCAGAGTAGCAGTATCACTAAGAGGTAGTCAGGTGAATGCAGTGGGGGTTTGGGAGGTAGGCACATGGAACAGCTGAGTGAAAGTGAGGAGGCATGAAGTAGCATGGGGTGTTTGAATGTGAAATACAAGTAGTTTGGTGGTGCTAGAGTTTAAAGTGGGAGCTCTGGTAGCATAGTGCCTAAGGCACTTAACTGCTAACCAGAAGGCTGACGGTTCAAACCCACCAGCCACTCATCGGTAAGAAGGTTGGGCAATCTACTTCTGTAGTGATATTACCTTGGAAACCCAAGGAGGGGTTACTATGAGTGGGGTCCGACTCTACGGCACATAACAACAACAACAATAGAGTTTAAAGTAGAAAGTACGGTGGGGTATGATGTGAATATATAGGGCTTGAAAGATTTCAAATTATACAAATTCCTGTGTTTAATCTCAGGAACTTGTACTCTGTAGGTGGTGAGGAACCAATAAAGAGTGTGAGGAAAGAGAAGGGGATTGGCAGTGTTTAGTTTTCAGTAAGAGAGTTTGGTCAGCAGTGGCAAGAGAGGGGAGGGGAATAAGAGAGCAAAGAGAGGAGCCTGGAGATAAGCAGAATAGTTAGGAGGCTGTTGGCACTGTCCAGGTAGAGATGTTGAGGTTTTTCACCAAGGCAATGGCATAGAAATGCAAATGAACAGGTGATTTGAAAATATAGGTGGTAAAATTTTAGTGCCCAGGATGAATAGAGTGAAGGAAATGGAGGAATCAAAAAAAGAAAAAAGAAAAACCAAGAGGTTTTTTTTTTTTTTTTCTTTTGAGTGAGTGAGAACAGTGATTCTATTATACGGCACAGGAAATATGTAAGGAAGAGCAGGGTTTGGAGGTAAGATGATAAAT